TTTAGCCAGAAAATCTTTTAAAGAGTTCTTATAAAGTAGATAATTTTGTCTCTGCTAAAGTATTTCATCTAAATCACTGGAAGTGACATTGACAGATTAAGTGCCATCAACTCTCAGTGACCAATAATATATTTCTTTGAGATTTAATTTATTTTATTTTGTTTTATTTCTATAGCCACCCATATCAACAAAGGATTCTGGGCAGCTATATAAATAAAATCAAGTCAAATCAAATCAGTTAATAATTTCATTCATATAGCTATCCATCTCAGCAAGTGGCTCTGAGCATGTATATAAATCAAATCAATAAATAAAATCATTGAAAATATCCAAAATATCACCCTGACCTTAATGGTGCATTTGTTGTTATGAAATCCATCCATATTGCTGCTGATTGTCCTCTCTTTCTATTTCTTTACACTTTCCTCAGCATTATGGATTTCTTAAGAGTACTGGGCTTTTGCATAATGGGTCTAAACTATGGTAGTTTGAGCCAGTCGTTTGTGCCTTGACTGGTAACTCTGAATTGATTTGCTCTATTTGTTTTTTTTCCATTGCACTTCATGGGATTGTCAAAAATCTTTTCCAAGATAAAATTTAAAAAGCTCCAATACATTTTGTATTCTGCTTTTCAAAGTTCGACTTTTGCATCCATAGAACATCATACCGAAAACCACAGTCTCATGATTTTACTCTTTTGCAGGTCCAGACACATCACAACATTTGAAAATCTTTTCTAAGGTCTTCAGTAATATCCCAGGAAGTGCTAATCTATCACATACTTCTTGACTGATAATTCCTTTAAGGCAGAAGCTCTCCACCATATCTATGTCTTCATTTCCAATTCTAAGACTGGGGGCTGTGCCTGCTGTCATTATATTTCTTGTGCAAAGAAAGTGAATGGAATGCTGATTGTTGTGTATTTTAGATATGGTACTTGCTGAATTTACTGAGATGAGATAAGATTTATTATCATTTTTTCTGTGGGAATAGTGGCACACATTAAAAATGAAATTCTGTTGCCTGCTCTCAAAAGAAAGTACCTATAGCCTATCTTTATCATTCTAAATATTTGAATCACTTTAGTAATTCATGTTGCTCACAATTTTCTTTGCTGGATCAATTTTCATTTGTTTTAATGCTTCAGGTCAATTTGGAGAACTAAGGCTGGCCCTACGTTTCTTTTTCTTTTACATATTATATATAGCTGTTGGGATCTATATATTAGCACTCCTAACTCCACTTTATCAGGGAGTGGTATGTATGGGGAATAGTACAGAACATTAAACAATTCAAAATAAAAATAAATAAAAATATCTGTCGTATCTTCCATATTGTAAAAGCTAAAGTGAAATAGGCATATGCTTTCTTAAGAACTGATTTGACATTATACCTTGAATCCATTCAATAACAGCACTCTGACCATTTGATGATGGATACACAGCAGGAAAAAAAACAATTCTAAATTTAGACTGGAGGTTAAAACATATAAGGAATAATTGCTGGAATTGTGTATGTCTAGTTTAACGAAGAGAAGGACGAGGGGAGACATGATAGCAGTGTTCCAATATCTCAGGGGCTGCCACATAGAAGAGAGAGTCAAGCTATTCTCCAAGGCGCCTGAAGGCAGGACAAGAAGCAACAGATGGAAACTGATCAAGGAGAGAAGCAACCTAGAACTAAGGAGAAACTTCTTGACAGTTAGAACAATTACCCAATGGAACAACCTGCCTCCAGAAGCTGTGAATGCTCCAACACTGGAAGTTTTTAAGAAGAGACTGGACAGCCATTTGTCTGAAATGGTGTAGGGTTCCTGCCTGAGCAGGGGGTTGGACTCGATGACCTCCAAGGTCCCTTCCAACTTTTTATTATTATTATTATTATTATTATTATTATTATTATTATTATTATTATTATTATTATTATTAATCTGTTTTATTCTTCTAACCAGCTTTCCATTATAGAAGTCCCAAAGTGCGGTACAATAAATGGTCTCTAATAATCCATGTCTAATTAACAACTGTGTGAAGTGATACTTCATTCCATAATTTTCCAGATTTAGCCATTTAATGGCTCTCTGTTCCAGTTTTCTGAGTAATTAAAAAAAATATCTAAAGACTTTTTAATCAAATTCTTCCCCAACTGTTTTAGATTTTCTCTCTCAGCAATTCTTTTACATTGTCTCTCTTTTTAGCTTGTTTCTCTTAATTCACTAAAATTAGGATAGAGGTAGGATTGAAAGTTCTCTTTTTAAAACATTTCTCCCACCCCATATTTTTATTTTGAAATCATTCTGATATCAAGGTATTCTTACAAATCAAACATGATATTCAAAATACTAAGTGGAGGAAACTAATTTCATAATAGGAAATACCAATAATATGGACAATATTATTTGTTTAACTGTTTTCCATTATCTTCTGCCATAAAGTTGACGTTTTTCAGATACCTCTTTTTTAATTTAAGGGCTCTTGTTGTATCAGGTATATTTCAGAGATTTTCTCAAGTGCAAAAAGACCATATAAAATAGGTTTCAGTAAAAATGATGGACAACTTGGAGAGGCAGGTAACTGGATGGATTTTATATTACAAAAAGCACTTAGTTGCATCACTGTACAAAACTCCCTTGAGTGTCGTTCTGGGACAGGTAAATAAACAAACAGATAAATCTATCAACTTATCCAGCCAGATAATCAATGTTACCTCTCTGCTTTGTTGTAACCCTGATAAAATTTATCATCTTTGTTCTACTGAGCAGACAGCTGGACAAACAAAATTATAAAAAATACCTTTCTTTCCTTCATTTTTCTGATGTAATAAAACTCTTTATGTGCATGATTGGTGCCCCTACCACATCACAATATTTTATTCTTATCATTATACTTGGTGATAACACCCAGAAATATAAAATATTACACACACACACACACACACACACACACACACACACACACACACAGGTTTTGTCTTTTGGATTTGCTAGAAACTGTCTCATATTATAATCTGCAATAAAGTCTACATAATTTCCTGTATTACTTTGTCAAAGAGAGCCACTGAAAGACCAGAATAAGTTCTGGCATGGTGGGACAAGTAACAAAGCATATTTATTGAAGGCACAGCATTTTATTTCCCCAGTGGCTAACTAACCATCTGTCTTCAGAAAGCCACAAGCAGACTATGTGAGCAAGATTATTTTCTCATTTATGTCCTCCAGTAACCTATTTTGCTGCTGATATTGGATGGCCTATAAAGTCAACAAGATTAGTAGCCATTATTAAAATTATGTTCCAATGTAATGTCTTTTTAAAGCCAACTACTCTGGTGATGTATATTGTAAGATTTTTTTTCCAGGAGAATTGCTCTAACTTCTTCATTATTTGGATTGATTTGGGGGGGGGGGTTTCAGCTCAACAAGTCCCATTTTGATATGCATTGATCAAGATTGTATAGTACATCGGTAGGAAAGCATTACATATCAATAGTTTCAATTTTTGTTCTATTCCTAATAATCCTATGACTGAATTTGCCTTTTTCACAGGAGATGAACTCTGGATGGATGCTTTCATTGAATTATCCAAGACCATAATCTCTAAGATCTCTTTTCTGGATAATCACTGTTAACTCAGGAATTTATTTTTATTTTTGGCTGTCATCATATAGTTGCTTATACTGAGGTTCATTCATTATTTTGATGTCGTTTTCCTAGTCCAGGGGTAGGCAACCCAAAACACTCAAAGAGCCACTTGGACCCATTTCTCACCAAAAACAAAACACCGGGAGCCGCAAAACCGTTTTGATATCTAAAATGAAGATAACACTGCATATATCCTTTTTTACCTTTATTATAGGTGTGTGTGTTTGTGTATGTATGTGTGTGTGTGTGTGTGTGTACACACACACACACACACACACACACACACACACACACACACACACACACACATAAAAAATAAAAGTAAAAATATCACTCTTGGGAATATCCATACTATTAAAACAATGATCACCAAGAGAATGCTTTAAGAGAATAAAATTACATACACACACAGGTTAAAAAAAGGATATATGCAGTGTTATCTTCATTTTACATGTCAAAAGGGTCTCTCTCCTCTCTCTCTCTGTCTCTCTCCCTCCCTCCCTCCCTATCTGCCCTTGGTCTGCCACTCCTCTTCCCCCACTCTCTTTCTTTCTCTCTCTCTCCCTCCCTCTCTCTCCCCCCCCCTCCTATCTGCTGCTCACCTGGCAAGCTTCAAGCTGTTGTCCAGCAATCTCAGGGGTAGGCAACCTCGTCTCTTTTATGACTCATGGACTTCAACTCCCAGAATTCCTGAGTCAGCCTAGCTGGGCTAGCTAGCTCTCTCCTGCCCTTCCTGCTTCCTGCTTCCTGCAGAGATGCAGCAAAGGGAGGGGCTCTGCCCAGTAAGCTTTTCAGCTCCGCGGGGAACACTGTGAGTGCACTCTCTTTTACACATACACACACACACACAACAAACACATACAGAGAGAGAGAGAGAGAGAGAGAGAGAGAGAAGCAGGGAAGTGCAATTGCCTCTCTCTGTCTCTGTCTCTCTCTGCAAAGGCAGAGGAGGCTGGGAGCCACAGGGGGAGGCTCAAAGAGCCGCATGCGGCTCCGGAGCCGCAGGTTGCCGACCTGTGTCCTAGTCTGATATGCCATTAGATTTTCCTAGCATTCTTTTAGGGCCACCTAGAAATATTCTATTTCATTAAGATGCCCTAGATATGACTCATCTATTTCTTGATTCAGTGAGACAGATACGTCCTATCTCATTCTCCATAGTCTTCCTGGTGAGATCATCAGAGGAACATAGGGGAACAGAAGGCCTATAAGCCAAATTCTCCAGGGTCTTTTCCAACTCAATGCCAGATGTGATCCATGAAAGGATGGAAAAAGCTATGGAAGCTTATTAAAAATGATAAGTACACAAACATGCACATACGTGTACAGGAATGTGTAATCCTATGTAATAAAATAAAAGACTTACAGAATATATTCAGGGTTAGACAGGAACTGGTCTATTGCAGAACAGCAGAAGGAACTTGGAGATAGTGGAACAGCCACTTTTAGTGCAGGAAGGAGGGACAGACAGACACAGTGGGAGGAGGGAGGAAAGGAAAGAAAAACACAAAACATGGTTAATGAGAGATATAGCTACAAATTATCAGATAATTAAACTCCTAGCAAAGTTTGTGCAAATAACATGGAAGGATATCGGCAGCCACCAGAAGGATGTATCAACCAGCTCCTGGAAGAAAGTGTAAATGATGGTCCTTAGTATTTTTTCTTGTTTATTACTCTGACAGTGGCAACTAATTCAGTAGGAGAGGCTCTGTCTTCAAGACGGTGAAAAAAGAAACACAAGCTTGCTTTTTCTGGTAATTTACCAAGGCCACATGTTTCATTTTGGTTGACATTGTGGGGCTGTCTAAGTTTTACTTAAGAATCCTTTCCTATTAACTTATATTCTGTTATCTCATTATTCTCAATGGGGAATAAAATATGTGTTAATTTATTGCTTATATGGGGCTACATTTTAAAAGTGTAGATATTTGCATGTTTACTCGTCTACCTAACTCAGTTTCAGGGGTTGAGAAAAATAATTATTTCCTCTAGATTACAATCAAGTGGGACTTTTGTATACAAAGCATATGCACTACAGAGTTATATCCATTCTTCAGATAGTAACAGCAGATAGTTCTTTCATTCACAAGTTTAGTGCCCATAGACAAAAATCTCCATAGAACAAAATGCGAGCTTTCTCCTATTTCATCTCCTTATTTGATAAGGGCATACAGTATATACAAATACTAAACAAAGTCACAGACTGCATGCCAATCTTATGTCTAACTCTTTCCACTAGAAGTTCCAGATAGATTAGGTGAAATTAAGATAAAATCACTTCCTTTGCAAATAAGCCTATTACCAAGATCCTTGTGAGAATGCCAGAATAACATTCTTCTATATTGCCATAATGTCTTGGATTTCTGCCTTTAATGTGGCATGGTTTCCATATAGCTTTAATATTATTTTCAATGTATTATTTTACTTCTAGAGAAAGAATGAGACAAACTTACAAGTACTACCTTTAAACCATCAGTTTAAAATATATTTTTTTCTGTTTAAAATAAACTATTTGTTCTTTCCCAATATATTATAGTTCACTACCTTCAATAGTCTAAAAAGAGAGATTTGTAATCATGCAGTGTCTGTTACAGATACTTTGTGCTTGGTCCCCACAGAATTCTTTAATTATGAATAATATGTGGCTCAATCTTTTTAGTAGTATTATAATATCAACGCTTTAGAGTAGCATAGGTGCTTCCAAGTGGGAAAATCTGAAAAATGATTCATTCCCTCTCTTTCGTTTCAATCTTGCAACTGGGAATGGGTGGCATAGATCAGAGTGGATGGAATAGAAGGAAAGAGATATAAGCAGGTGAGCAATTGTCAAGGCAGGAGACTCCCAGCAGCTTAATCTACAGAAAATATCTTCTCTGGTTCCCTGTAGCATTAATGAAAAGTTCAATGCCTAAATGGATTTCTTTTTCATATGCTTATACCCAGTTTTCCAAAGCGCTTGGAGGCAGGACAAGAAACAACGGGTGGAAACTAACCAAAGAGAGAAGCAACCTAGAACTAAGGAGAAACTTCCTGACAGTTAGAACAATTAATCAGTGGAACAACCTGCCTCCAGAAGCGGTGAATGCTCCAACACTGGAAGTTTTTAAGAAGAGACTGGACAGCCATTTGTCTGAAATGGTGTAGGGTTCCTGCCTGAGCAGGGGGTTGGACTCGATGACCTCCAAGGTCCCTTCCAATTTTATTATTATTATAACAAGAAACCCACAACTTATTTAAAATTCCTTTTCACAATGAACCTATGAAGATACACTACTGTGAGCAAGAACATAATTTGCAATTTGCATTCCTCCAGAAACTAAGGGGTTTTCATACAGTTATCAGACTGAATCAGGAGCATGAATATAGATAGGCAAAAATTAAAGCAAAATTAGAAGTAAATGTGTTCCCATTCCTTATGCAATTTCATTGCTATATATGGTTTCAGGCAAACAGGTAAAACAAATATCACAGCCTGTTTGGGCCTCAGAAACAAAAGTATATACACTGTAGACCAGGGGTCCCAAACCCCAGGGCCATAGCCCACTATCGGGCCTTGTGCCATTTGGAACCGGGCCGCGGAAGTGGCAGGTGAATGTGTGCATGCATGCACTCCCACGTGCATGAACAGGCATCCCCACTTGCATGAGCAAAAAAAATAGCAGTTATTGAGAAAAGTATCAGAATTTCAATTGCCAAGTAAGAAAACACCATCAAAATTATTTGTCCCAAATAAAATTAATGCCAGAATTTTAAAAATTAGTTTAATCTGAAGGTAGCACCTGAAAGATTGGCAAAAAGATTTTGGCTGGCAGGAACAAAATACCAATAAAGATTTTCAGATTTCAAATGGTGTTTACTTTGAGACTAACCTGCTTATGTACCTGTTTGCATGCTAACCAGCCATTATGAACATTTAAATAAACCATTTATCACAAGATGCACAAGAGGCAGAAAGGGAGACCTAAGATGAAGAAAGAGGTCCCCAGATGAACAACAGAAAGTAAGTGGTGGAAGCAATCTTGGAGAGCATCTATTTCAATAGTGTAGTGCAAAATCTACTACCAAAAGATTCCTGACAGATGGTCATTCAGATTCCATTTAAATATTTCTATCACAGAGTCCCAAAGGGACTTTTTCAAAAGGCACCTAAACTTCTTTTGTTTTTTCTTGAAGACATTTCACTTCTCATCCAAAAAGCTTCTTTAGTTCTGACCTTTTGAAAAAGCACTTTGGGACAACCATGATCTGGATGATTGAGAATCTCCATAGACATACTTCTATCACAGAGCCTAAAACACCGCCCTGTACTATGTTACTCAATACCTGAATAACCAAAGCCATTGCTATATATAGTATTTATTGAGTAACTTTTAGCTTACTGAGTACCGTTCATCAAATGGTAATACTGTCCAGGCCAGGGGTCTGCAACCTTGACAACTTTAAGTCTTGTGGACTTCAGCTCCCAGAATTCCTCAGCCAGCAGTGGTCTAGGCTACACTTTGTCATCTTTTCTATTAGTGTCTAATGGGAGATGTATCAAATGCTTTTCCGAAATAAAAGTTCACAGTGTTTTTTGTACTGTATCCTTACTGTCAACTAAACTAGTCACTAAGTTCAAAAGGGAGAGAAGATTGGTATGTCATGATTTATTCTTTTAAATCCGTGCCTGCTTCTTCAAGAAATGCATAATTGACTAAATCCTCACAAACTGATTAATCATATTCTATCCCACAGTTTTGCCTAGAATAGATATTATGATGGTTGGTTTGAAGTTCCTTCTTTTCCATCTTTTTTGAAGGCACAAATAACATTTGCCCTCTTCCAATCCTCTGGCACTAAGCTGATCATGAAGGCCACGTGAAAGATCTCTGAGACTACATCTGCAAACTTCTTCAAGCCTCTTCAGTTGTAACTGGTCTGTCTCAGGAGATTCAAACTTGTTCACCCGTCGTCTGGTGCTCCATAACTATCTTTCTATTGACTTGCTAATCCTTCCTTGTGTCAGTTCTTCTGTTACCACTCACCTTCCAGCATAATTTCTGTTATTTTAAATGTTCAGAAATCCAGTATATAAGAGACAGCATTGTTTTATTAAAATAACACACAAAAGTAAGTACGCATGGATATAAAGTCACAATACTTTTGGAGTTTAGTGATTAGGTCTATGGCAGGGGTCCCCAACCCCCGGTTTGTAGACTGGTACCGGGCTGTGGCCCGTTAGTAACTGGGCCATGCAGCTGGAGGCATGTGGTGAGTCTGTAGGGGTCTGGGCAGGGCAAGATAGTGGCAGGGCAGAAGCCATCTTGCTCAGTGCAAAGATTCTCCAGCGGCTGCGCTTGCAACATCTAGCTCCATGTCCTTCCTCCTCTTCCTCCTCCTGCTTCTTGTGCTATCTCTTCTTCTGCCTCCTCCTCCTCCTCTTCCTGCTTCCTCCTGCTACTTTTTTTCCTCCTCCTTTTCTTCCTCACTTTCCTCCTCTCCCCCTCCCAGCACCCAACTGGGCTCATGCTCCCTTCACACAAGTCTCCAAGTTTGCAAGACAAGCACGTGCCAGCCCAGCTTGCAACCAGGGTTTCCCCCAAAATCTCCCTGGAGGGGGATTCCCCCCCCAATGTATGTGTTTGTGAGGGTGCTTTCTCAGAATGCAAATAAGGACAACTACCCGGTCTGGTCCATTGAAAAATTGTCTTCCATGAAACCGGTCACTGGTGGCAAAAAGTTTGGGGACCACTGGTCTACAGGACTAGAAAAAGGATTCCTGAAACTGGGAAGGCAGAGGTGTACTATCCTTTAATCCAGTGAAAACAGAGAATGCAAACTATAGACTTAATGACTTTCCACTTTCCAATCTATTTCTGGCAAGGAGAAGTCTACAGAAATCAGCAGGCTCTGTACTGTTTGTAATTGCTACAGTTGACATTATGGGAAAGTTTTGAACTCATTCAGTGGAATTTTATTACAAGCGCCTGCATATCTTCACAGTTAATGGGAGATCTACAGATGGGCCAGTCTGCAGGTGTATTGATGGCAGGTTTCAAATTTCTCCTCAGCCATACCATACTTTTAGCCTTCAAATTGAATACCAGTTAAACAGAAGACAACAAGAGCTTCAGGCATTTAGCCTGATGAGCAAAAGCCAAAAATGTACACAGCCTGTCCTCCCACCCCCTCCCGCCAAAAAACTTGTCTTCCCATGTTTCCTTGCTTCTCTGCATGTTTGCTTCAACTAAATTAAATCTTCCACCTCAACACAAGAAAGTGGATAATAAAGTAGGAGAAAATTTGCACGAGCAAGCATGTCACCTTAGTAGTTTCTGCTGTTATGCCACCCTCTGTAGATCTCATGAGATGTTGGAACTTGAATCTCACTGTCTTAAAACTCTATGTACATTTTCTTTGAGTAGCTGTAGTGAAGTTTTCATCAAATCTAATCACAACT